CAATCCAGAAACGCAGCATGCCGAGATTTTTGTGTTCGTTTTTATTTGAAACTTCGTTTATTTAGAATATATTTTCGTTACCAATAAAATAAAAATCTGTCAGTCAATCAGAAACCCGGATTCATGCCTTCGAGGAAGGTCCCGTTTGAACGCTCACATCGGGTTTTTTTTCGTTTGGGGGAAAACTAAAACTGGTCGCAATTTTCGAATAAGAATGAGTCGGCAATTTTTAGTGGAGTCGAAAATTTGGAGGTAAATAAAACACCGAAACCCGGCAAATAAAAAGGCGGTCGAATTTTTAGAGGGGTCGAAATTTTGGAGTTTTCACGGTACTAATTATTCCATTTCAATGAAACTTTAAGTACAAAGATGCTCTAGGACAATGTACAAACCTAATTAGTTTGGGGTAAAAATCTGTTAATATTAATTCCCTAATAAGCATAATAATTCATAATTTTTTGGTTCTAATCACATTTCAATTAAACTTGGAGACATAGATTTTCTGTTACATTGCGCAGACCTCATTAGTTTTACACTCAAATCTGGTCATATTAATTTCCTGATTTGCATAATTAGTTTTCAGCTAAGTAATTTCGAATTATATTTAATGTGTCTCCAATACTCGCAGCACATGGGAGTTCTTTCTAAGCTTTCTTTGATTTTAATTAATATGCACGGATATTAACCCAAAACTTGTCAGGTCTGTACATTATCCTAGTAAGATGCTCTAGGACAATGCAGGGTTCTCCCCAGAAAAAATACATAGCGCTGCAACTAATTTGCATAATAATTTGCATATCATTTACATACCTTTCCTTCATTAATTAATAACTCATTTACAATTATAAAAATTAATGAGATCGGTCACAATATTTTTTTTAATGGAATCGACACATTATGTTTCACAATTTAGAAGAGTTTGAAACATTCTCGAAATACAAATGCTGCAGACTAAAAACAAACACAAATAAATTATTGTCTATTGTAAAACGTTAAATGAAACGCATTCGAAACGTTAAGCCAGAAATATGTTCACGAATTTCATGATTTTATTTACTCCAAAAACATTCTCCTTCAAAAAATCTACCACGTAATTAATTGGCGTATTGTTGTAATTTATTATTCGTACCATCAACTTCTAAAACGTTTACATTTACAGTAATGAACGAACAAATAAAACTTCAAAACGATCATCAAAGTTACGACGTGACATAACTTACTTGGCGATGTTATACACCGGTTATACTAATAATTCCTTTTACTCGGTCATGATGCCATGCAAAAAATGGTACTTATTTTTTTTTGGATATGAAATGAAAGTAAAATCCGACTTATTTTTATCGGGAGCGATTATTTTTGATCACTCGATCGCTTCGGTAAAAAAAAAAACAGACCCGCCATGGTGTTTGTGAAACATTATCATGTGTTCTTTGACCCGATGGGTCAAGAATGCCATTAACCAATCAAAATGCCGCATGGTAATGCCGGTAGAATTCGAAGTTTTCCGAATGGTAGTGATCATAAAAATTACATTGCGGAAGTTATGCGATGTCGTAGCACAATGTGTTAGCATCGATTTCAGTTGAAAATTGCGTGATGGTTTTCGAAAGAGGGGATTAGCAATTTTTAAAAGGTAAAATAGGTCTTGAAAGAAGAGTTTTTACATGATTCGCGATGATAACAGTTCAAATGTATTTTACCAAATCATGCAATAAACACGTTTTTTTTCTTGAGTAGCGTAAACTGATCGTGAACTCCGCTTTGACCCATGTTATATCGAGGTGGAATTGATTTTGAAATAATTTTGACTTTCAATCTAAAGACTGTGTCAATCGCAGAAAGTATTTACTTACAAACAAAGAGGTGCTGATTTCACATATTTGACTAGCCGCTACGTATCGTGCGACTAGGTCTATTGTTTACAAATCATAATCCTCGACTGGCAGGATGCGTGTCGGTCGGTACGTAATAATAATAACAATCGGACAATAGTCCTAGTCGGAAGCGTTTCCGTGGTGGTCACTAATTCTGAGTGCCGGTCTGGGCTGACCAGCGTGGCGAAAAACCTTTTGCACATCAAGCGCCGAGGTCGGAACACATATCGCCGAGGTCCCAAGTAAAGCGCCGTGGACCTCGGCGCTAAAAAGCCCTGGGGAGAACCCTGCAATGCACACACCTGACATGTTTTTTGGTTAATATCAGTACATATTAATTACCTAATTTGCTTGATTAGTAAATTTTTGGCTTTTTTGCTGATATTTCAAGTACTACTCATTATATTTGAATGTAACTTGGTACATAGATGCTCTAGAATATGCTCAGACCTAATTAATTTTGACTAAAAGCTGTGCATATTAATTACCTAATTTGCATAATAATTCATAATTTTCCATGAATATCTCGAGTTCTAATCACATTTGAATGAGACCTGGTATATTGATGGTCTGTGACATTGTGCAGACCTTGTTTGAAAGACTACTAGTAATTAATTATTAATATGTCTCCAATACTCTCAGCACCCAGTTCTTTCTAAGCTTTCTTAAATTCTCTGAAAATCCTGAAGAGTAGCATTGGCAAAGAACACATTGGTAGTCAAAATTGGTTTGTGATTCACAACAAATTGTGGCAGAATGTTCTGATCGATTGTATGTCTACTGTCAGCTTTACCAGCAGTTATTGGAGGGAAGCTTGTACGTACCAGTTTCCCAAACATTTTATATATACATTGTACTGGTATGTCCCCTCAGATCTGACACATTTTTCGCAGGGTCTTTCAATTGCTCTTTCAGAATTTCAGGATAAGTCAAACAACTCTTGAATTTGTCAGGCTGTTTGAAGCATTGTTGTGAAAAAAATGATGATGGGTTGAAAGACTGTACATTTTCTTTACGTATTCTTGTCTATCTGCTCCTTGAGTGCTACAAGTAGATTTAATGAAGGAGGGTCATCCCAAATCTGCAAAGAATTTTTATTTTTTCGTTTAATTATTTTCCTTTTCATCATTATCAACATAATAATCATCACTACCGCTGCCAGTTTCTATTGATACAGTTGCAGAAAAATCTGTTCTATCAATAGCATCAATGTCAACTGAGTTTGAATTTGATCAGTCCATATATGCACAACATAGATTCAACAAACTTATGGTTGAAAGAGCTCCCCTGTCTTATGTTCAATATACCCTTAATATTTGTGTACACCTATCAGTTATTACAGTGTTCTCCATAGGATGACAATTCTGCCATGCAGCTCTGAGAGACTGCCATGCTTGGCTGACATCGCCATGCTCAAAATCATTATTACTATTTCTGCACTTACTATTGTCTATGATTTCTGCAGCTATATTGTTCGATGAGCTGTTCTTTTAAGTCATAAACAACCAAAGTCAGAAAGCTGCTAAGTTTATTTGGGTCATCATGTAATTGTTGTAAGTTATCTATTTATGCAATAACTGTTCACGCCACAGTCGATGTCAAAATAAAACATTTCTGCATGGCGAAGTCTTAGTCCGCCAACGTTTTCAAATGTAAATGTATGTTTTTTGCTCTTCGCCTCTGGTGGCATATCACTTGGTTTTCTACACATGTTGGTTGTAACATCTTGTACATATCATGTAAGCAAATAACACCGAATAAACGGCATGGTAAATACTACGTCAAATGAAAGTAAACGCGTATTGCATGCGTGACTCGAACCGGCGCTCGTGTCAGACACCCACTCGCCTAGCTTCACGTCACTACACAACTTTCCCTCGGCCACTGGGCATCCCCAAAAAAGGATGCTTAATAACCAAGCCTATTATGCGCAGAGATCATGAAAACTGTCCATGCGATCCGCACCACACAGCGTAGCCAGAAGGCCTTCAGATCTGGCTGCACTAGGACAGGTTTCATGCACTCTGCACGTACATGTTTGTAATAAGACCATTTTTTTTTTTTTTTAACCTTTTCACCACCAGTTCCCTCTTTTTATTACAAATTTACAAAATAGTCAGTGTAGTTTTGTTAGTTAGCTGCAAAATTTGGGTTCATTTCTAGAAATATTAGAGAATACGAGAAATAAGGAAAGAAAAATTTTGGCGAAAAAGTGAAAAGGGTGGTGAAAAGGGTAATTACCATAGGTATACTCGGTTCTACAACTGTACTAATAGTTTCCACTGTAATTAATTGCAGAACGACTGCCACGGTGATTATTGTTTGCCACAGAATGCAAGGATTTGAGATAACTGAAGATTTACTATCTAAAGAAGATGACCAATTGAATGCGCGACCATGTGTGACTGGTATTGCACAATTTCATCCAAAAGCTGAAAGCAATGAAGCTGATTGCTATGGAAACCGGAAATCTTATGTTTGTAAATTGTATTTCACATATCCAGTGAGTGGTCAAGCTTTATCTACATGATTTTTCACAGCTAGCTATAGTAACTCTATAACTATTGTTCTAAAGTGTGAATCGCTCAAGTCCTGCGTACAGTGTGTGTTGCTCTTGTGGGGAGACAACAGTTACGTCATAGCATTATTCTTCAAACTAGTTTGAAGCACTTATGTTCTGTGCTACGTCTACAAATATTGCGTGTTTTTAAGCAAAGTCTCTGTGTGATCATATCGGTTTTGTGAAAAGGCACGTACTGTAAAAGGGTTATTCACTTGGTTTTAATTTTTTTAATTAAATAACGGAAAAAAACAAGATTTTGATTTTGATTAATTCATTATTACAGTATGCATTATAGCAATAATAAAACAAAAGTTTCAACCTTGGTAAATTGCATTACCACCCCCAAAACGATCACAGTCTTTATTTTTATTTGTGATTTCATAGTTCATACTTTAATTGTTTGGCAATATTTATTACTTTGTGCATAAGTGCCGAAAAAGTGTTCATTTCAGTCGTTCATTTTGCATTTAATTTTGCCGTAGGTGTTGTGTATGAAACAAGGTGGCTGTTTGGTGTCGCTAACAAAAAATTGTCTTCTGTGAGAAATAGGAACAACTAAAACTAAAAAAAAGGGGAATTAATTTATCGATTTTATGTTGTCAGATGACCCATTTTAATCATATTAAATAACAGTATGGCACGTTACTTGGTACATGT